TGCCGATCTTTTTCCCCATTTTATTTTTTTGTTTTTCTATATTTTGCAGCATAGAGGAAAGTTTCTGCAGTTTTTCTAAAATTGGGCAGTATAATTTTTTTCAATATAGTTCTTTTTTACTCAAACTTGGGTGGATACCTAGGTAGTTTGTGTTCTTTCGAGAGCACTTATTCAACCGCTGGTACGATGCGCCAAGGCAGTATTAGCCCTCTCTGTTTACCCACTTTGTCGATTACGAAAAAAACACTGACCTAGTGATATTAGATATTTCATTAGGTTGGGAAACGTCATTGTGACTACATCAGAAAACAAAATCCTATGAACTTCTGTGCTGTTCACTTTTTATGCGTTTTTTGCAGCTGTGCAATGCAGAAAGCGCATATTGACGAGGGGTTGTCTGTGTGTGCGTCTGTACCGGCTTTTTCATCTCAAGACCTATGAATGCTACTGGGCTGAAACTTTGGCACCTTAATCTACATGCATGTACCGGCCCTAGTCTTCTAAATGGGCGCCGTTACCCGCGGAAGTACCCACGTACGACCCCTCTAAAGTTTTTTATAGGTGAGCTGCTAACTCGGGAACCAGAAATGCTGGAAGGCTGAAATCTTAAGGGGATGTTCCCCGTCCAGGTGGATATTAACGAGCTCATACCAACCGCCGGGTAAGCGCGGTACCCACGCATGGGCCCGCCAAAATTTTTTTCAAACAATTCGCTAACTCGGGAATCTGAGAAGCTAGAAGGCTGGAATTTTTAAGGGATGACTACTGACAATCCTGGCGGTCAGTCTGAAACCTTTTGGCTAGAAACATCTACCGGAAAAACCACTGCCGTTAGTGACAAAAAACTGCGGGACTGCGAAAAGCGCATCTTCGCACGGGCAGCCCGTGCGTTGATCAATTGTCTTATAACCAGTAGACATTGCATACCGGTCAAGGATACCGCAAGAAAATAAACGGCTACTCCATTCTAGAAGAAATGATGCACGTAAACCTAGCAGGTGAACAGTAGGCGGAGGGATAGGACTCGGGTTCACGATATGCAGCTGTACATGTGGGATCATTTTAGCAGTATTACTGTGGAGATTTTTCTTATACCATTGTCTGGAGTTCCAGACATTCTTTGCATTTACTTATTGTCAGACTAAAAACTGATTTTGAGAAAGAATCACTGCAAAATACTTTTTGCTGTGGTTCTTGTTTAAAATGTTTAATAATCCCTCTACTGAAAATTATTAGCAAAAATATGCGGTGCCAGTGAAAGCTTATCCTGCAAAACTTTTCAGATCCATAATTATTCGGCGCCGCTTTGCCGAGTTGAAATGTACGACAGAGATGTGCTATTGTTACAGGCGAGAAATTTTTTTTTTTTTTCTGTTTTCGGCAAAAGATGGAAAATTTACTCCTTACTTATTCGGTGCAAAAAAAACCTTTTCAGTCACTGTTGAAAATTCGAGACAAGATCGTGAAAAAAGTGTAGTTTTTCTCAAAAAAAAAAAGATGGCTGCTGCTAATTCATGATGACTTACTGTCGCTCGTTGTTGTTTTCCAGGTCTGTGCTGCAGTTACACCGCCCGATGTATTCATTATCAGGGTTTTAAATCGTTTTGGTTTAAGTCTTTGGGCTGAGACGGATTTCGAAAAACTTCGCTCTGTACTGGAAAAGGAAAGTGTGGATGATACGAGTAGGGCTATAGTGGTTCTGGCCGAAGAGATGCTTCAGCTGCTGATCATCGTCATTGGTTAGGCTTTCTCTGTAG